ATCTAACTTTGTAAATATGATTCCTTTCAAGTATTTTTATCAGGGTAAGTTTTTTTGTAAAAATGGATGTGTTTTGTGGAATCAAATAAAGATATTGTTTTTGACAGGAATATCACTATAATTCTTTTGGTCAAATTTATTTTGTCAAGGTTGTTTATGAAGGGAGAAATGGAATGCATTATTTTTGTATTACTTGGTGTAGTAGATGTTTGCATAACTTTTATGTCAATTTTTTCGCCAAGGCTTGAAATTCAGTACAAGCATTTGCTAACATTGTGGAGAACAAGGCACTGGAACTTAAAGCAAGCCCTCAGCAAAGAGCAAGTCTTCACTCAGGTGAAAGTGATCAAGTCCACATCTCCTGATAAAGTGAGCAAAATAAAGTGTAACTTGCGCATGTCCAAGGGTCACAAGGGTAGAATTTGCCTTGGGAAACAGACAGGCTTTGTGTATCTTCACAATACATTCCTCTTGTGAACTTCATAGCATTCACATAGTGAACTCCTCGCCTGGGTCACTGACTAAAAAATATCTTTCTCATGAGCTGCTGGTGTCTCTCTTTTTGTTTAGTTTTATATTGTAATGTGTTGATTCTTCTGAACTTTCAACACCTCTTAATGAGTACTGATAATAATGCTGATGCTGATGAAATAAAGTAATGAATACCTTACATTTTAAGTTACTTAGAGCTCGACATTGATCAACAAGAATGTTTCACTTGTTTATGCACATGAATTTCCAGTTGCTTCATTTGGTAACCAGGATTTTTCTTCTTCAATTCCCACATCAGTGGATCATATTTTGGTGTCTTTTCCATCTCTCTCACGTAACATCATCTCTAAACATGGGAAGTTTATTGAGATAGCTAACTCTTTATCTGCTATCTGTCAATGATCTTGATATTGATTCTGTTTTCCTTTGCCTCAGTGCTCTGTGCATAAACAGGTACATCCCACTATGCTTGCACATATTCATTCTTGTTGTCTCTTCTCAGAATATTGGACGAGTCAACAACTCAACGTGCTTTTAATCCGACTTACGCAATAAATAGATATTTCGTCCTTGTGTTCTACTACATTCCATAATAATCAGTATGGTGTTACATCCCATATGCAACAAATAGCATTACTTGTAGTACACTACATATTTGTTAAGGCAGGTTGAGGATTAATGCAGCCATTTGCTGATTTGGACCTGCTATCTAAAGGTTAACCCCGGTAACTCTAATTCTGAAGGGAAATGAAAAACAGTTCGAGTTCGTGGGAGCTCGAGTTATTGGGGTCAATTGCAAAATGTAATTTTCCTTATTAAAAATTGATAGTTACTGATTGTTCAGCACTTCAGTGTATAGTGCAGAATTGGTATCAAGTTTAGGAAATTTTGTGATGTTTTATGAAATTTGCTGCCATTTGGGCAAACCTTTTATCTTAGTCTTCTCTCGGAAACCTCTTGGAAACAAAGGAGCTGTGAAGTAGATTAAGGAAAATTAATATGACATAAATTAAAGAACACTCGACTTAAAGCACAAGTGAACAAGTGTGAACTAGAACTATTTCCTCCAATGCACAAACTGAAACAGCTGATAAAAGGTAAAACATGGCAGTATGATGCGTTGCAGTTGTTCTAGTGAGCCCTTTGGTTCCTTTTTGGTTACCCTTTGCTTTTTTCTCTATCTCACCTTTTTTAAGTTGGCAAGTGACCACGTCTGGTAGGTGTACTGGTTCTGAAAGTGGGCTGCACCAAATTATCCATTCCCAACTGCATTATTTCCCACCTTTCCACCGGCTGTGGGACACAATGCAGTTCAAACACGCCCCATAACCATTTGTGGTGTAAGCCATGTGAGTAGATTCCGTTCTGTCTGACTATCTTGACAAAACATATGGTCAATGTGAAGGCTGTCATATGTTCCACTGCATTTCTGTCATGCACCTTGTTGCTCTAGCTGCATCAATCTGTGGTGCCCAAGGTGATAGTCTATTTGGTTTAATGGGAGCAAAAGTAAAGCACTTACAGGAGGTATTAAACCAAGTTACTGGTAAAAGTACCTTTTTTAGGATCAGTGCTGTTTTACTACCCCTCAACAACTTAGTTCAGAAACCTTGGGTTTGTTGGCAATTGCTTTAAGACTCTGGGACACTCTCAATTAACATACGTACGTTTTCCACTAAACGTTAGCAATTCTGTTTGGGCCCGGGAGTTGTTGATGATGGTGACTTTACAAAGGACAATGACCATTGTAAAAGCAGTAACACTTTGTATGACAAAAGATTATAGTATGGAGTCTTCATAAGAGATTTACTTCAACATGTACATTTTTTACTGTTGGATAACTAGTCTTAAATGTTTTGTGTCAGGGAAAGCTACCCTTACTGGCTGGCTCAAAAGATGCTGAACAGATTCTAAGAGATATTCAAATGCCAGATGATCAGGAGATAGTTGGAATAACTGAACGACTGGTTGAACAAGAACCTGTGACATCTGCTGCTACTGGCTCATTAAATGAGAATCCACCAGAAACTCTGATGGACGAAGCACAAACGCTTGATAAGGTAGAGCATTGCTTGCAATTCTGCATCACTCAGCACATGGCCACTTTGCTTTTGAGTCACCCTCAAATAACGTTTTTGACTTTTTCAAGTACTTGGTGCAAAACTGTGTAATAAACTCTTGAAGGATGACAGATTATGTAAAACCCTTGTATGCATGTAGAGAGGGATATCACCGTCTCATCTTTATAATAGTTGACATCCCATCTTTTGTCGTTTTATTTTTGACTTTCGTTGTATGGTGCTTGAAACTCAAATAGCAACTTCCTCTCTTTACGTTTGTATCAAGCTCTAAGTATTCATGCATAGAGCACTCCCAGGGCAAGTGAATGAATGTGAAATATTTCCATATTTTCTGTATTAGTTTATTTTAGCTTTTTTATATTGTTTTAACGAGTCTAGGTGGCCCCTTATTGAAGGAATTTTTCTCTGCTACACCATTGCACTTGAATAAAGACGTATCTGTCAAGAAGCAATTATGGAACATAGGTTTAGAATCAGTGTGCAACCCACATAGTTACTTGAATTTTATCGAGGTCATTTTTTTTGCCTGTGTGATCTACCCTCATCATAGGTTATTTTACCTTGTCTTGTAGCAAAGTTCTCAAAGCACTCTAAATGACCTATTGGCATGGCTTAAAAAGGCAGAAGGTATCCTGAGTACCATGTCCGAAGGGACACTAAACCAAGGAAGTCTGTACAGTTCTCTTGAGGAAGTGAAGGTAAAAACTCATCTTTTGTAGGGGAGACGTCTTATAGTAAAAATAAGTTTACATAATTTCAGTTATTAGGAGTTCGTCTTTGTATGGAATAGCTGAAATTTGTGTCGCACCCCTCTTTCTCCCTCCGTTTCTGGATCAGTCCTCCTCCTCCTCTTAATAAAGACCTTTACCTTGAGTATACGAGTGTGATCTGTTCAATATTTTCTTTCCCTTGAGCATCTGGACCGGCATGTAAGTAGTTACTAGTAAGGGTAGGACTGGGAGCAACGTCGTGATGGCGATATTACTTCCATCATCATGTTATAAGGGCTCTCCCTAGTAACTTCACAGGCGAAGGAAGGGTGGGGTCTTAAACAGTGAGCCATTGTGAAGTAACCACATCTCATATCGTTTTTTAACAATAACAGCATTTACAAGAACAGCAGACACAACGAATTCCTCAACATGATTCATTGATGAACTCCATCGTAACTAAAATAGATCCTCAACTGCAACGCAAGTTAGAAGTATTGTCGGGAAAGTGGACAAAAGTGAAAGAGGAAACAAGCAACTGGCACAGAGTGTGAGTATAAGTCATTCAGTCATTTGCCGGCTTTCAACTGAAATTCAAGGATCAGTTTTCTGTCCGTCTGTCTGCCTTTTTCTGTCTTAAGAAATTTATGTGATCTTTCTTAGAAATGAATTTTAAATTCCACTTCCTTTTATCTGGAGTGGAACCTGAGCAAAATGTGATTGTACTGATAGCTAGTAAATGGTAAGGCACAGGTTATTCCTTACTTACACTTGTGTCTTTCGACTGTCTAGAATTACCTTCTTTTTGTGATTAAAAGAAACCAAGTGCATGGGATATTTGAAAGCGAAAATAGGCGATTTTCGTAACATTGTTTTTTGTGAAAGGTTTGAACCCATGAGTCATTTCAAAAGTAGGTTGAGTTTGATCGTCCGGGTGAACGTAGTCCTGAATAGGACTGTTGTTGTTGACAGTGACTGACGTTTCGACAACCTGTGCGGTAGTCATCTTCAGAGTAAAAGTGAGTTGTATCACGTCAGTTGATGGTATCATACTCTGGTTATTGATCTGATTGGTCAAATACGTCGCGATGTTATTGGTCGTTTGTCAGTTAAGCCGTGGTGTTATTGGCTATGAAGACTCGTAATCAGTAATTGGTACGTTTCGATCCTTCTATTGTCACAGTTAAACAGCCGTCTATTGTTAGTCAAAATTGTCAGTTCTCCAGTCCTTCTCTCGTAGTTAGTTTTGCTTGATCTCGTCAATAAGTCGTTTGTACGGTGCTGGTAACTGTTGGCTACGATTCAGTGGCGTTTGTACCAAGTTAGTAAACCAGCTTTCTAAAGTAAGACGTTGATAATAGTCTGTAGAATACGTTATACATGTCGCAGAGTCCCAGTCAATTTGATGTTTCGTCTTAAAGTGATTGTTGACGTCACCATTCCTCGTCGCTCGTTTCTGTTCGGTCATTCGCGTGCTTAGGTTTCTGCCGGTTTCACCAATGTAAGAAGCCTTGCAGTCGCAGCATTTGATCTTGTATACTGCTCCCTGTCTGTCCTCCGGTTTGTCTTTGTCCTTGACATTAGTAAGCAGTCGCCGTAAAGTGGTTATCGGTTTGTGTGCAACACGTATATTGTAAGGTTGTAATATACGTGCAATAGTTTCAGAGGTGCCTCTGATGTACGGTATAGTCGCTGTCGTAACAGGGCCAGAGTTGGTCTAAGTGTTGGAATCAGTGTTACTTTGAGTGTTCCGTCTAACAAAGTCCGTGTTGTTATTGTTCTTACTAAAAACGTTGTTAAGATAATCAGTCTCGTCTTGTAGGCTGTCAAGTGAGTCGCAAACTAGTTGCGCTCGTCTAGTCAGAGTCTGGATAGTAGTAGCCTTGTGAGAGGTCGGGTTGTACGAAGACTGGTCCAGTAATTGGTCGGTATGTGTCGGTCTTCTGTAAATAGTCGTTTTTAGTTTGTGGTTGTCAAGAGTGACCAAGCAGTGTAGAAAAGGTATCTTACCATTTTCTTCGATCTCCTTGGTGGACTGTATGTCTGCGTTCTATCTGTTAAGGTGTTCGTGAAAATAGTCGATTCCGTTTTTGTGTACGGCGGTGAATGTGTTGTCAACGTAACGTAACCAAAGAGGTGCAGTTCGTGTGGAGGTAGCTAGGGCTTGTTTCTCGATGTTTTACATGACAATTTCTGCTACAACAACAGAAACTGGAGAGCCCATAGCTGTACCGTGTAACTGTTTGTAGCGTTTGCCGTTGTACTGAAAGTACGTCGAAGTCGAACAGAGGTTGAGTAGGTCCATAATGTCGTCTGTAGGTAGTGGTAGTTCAACAGTAGTCTAGAGCCAGTTGAAGTGGAATACTGGTGAACAGTGATTTCACGTCAAAGGACACTAGTTTGTGGTCGTCCGGTATCTGTATTGTCTTAATGGCGTCAATAAAGTCCTCAGTAGACTGTAGTTTGTGTCTAGATTCATCAGTCAGCGGTTTCAGTATGTTAGTTAAGTATTTAGACAGTTGGTAGGTCGGGGACCCACAGAAAGAAACTATGGGCCGCATAGGTATGTTGGGTTTGTGTAATTTTGGTAGTCCATACTGCTTGGGTGGCTGCGGAACACTACACCTCAGTCTGTTGTAGCGTCGAAAGTCGATCTTGTCGGTTTTCTTCAGTGTAAGCAGTTTGTTGTTAAGTTTGCGTTGCAGTGCGGGTGTCGGGTCTCGTTTAAGTACTTCGTAGGTCTGTTTGTCGGTAACAAGCGAGTCCGTTTTGTAGTTGTAGTCTGTCTTGTCCATAACAACAGTCACTCGTCCCTTGTCTGCGGGCAGTATGACTATGTTCTCGTATGTTTTCAGTCGTTTAAGTGCTTTCTGTTCGTCAGGAGTCAAGTTACTGTTCGGTGATAAGGCTGATTGTAAAGTAGAGGTCACTTTACTTCTGATGTTATCCTTGGTCGATTCTGATAGCTCGTGTTGGCGAGACAGAACGGCCTCAACGCTAGTTACAATAGCCTCAGTAAGTATTTGTTTAGGTGTCACTGACTGTTTAAGTNTACACCTCAGTCTGTTGTAGCGTCGAAAGTCGATCTTGTCGGTTTTCTTCAGTGTAAGCAGTTTGTTGTTAAGTTTGCGTTGCAGTGCGGGTGTCGGGTCTCGTTTAAGTACTTCGTAGGTCTGTTTGTCGGTAACAAGCGAGTCCGTTTTGTAGTTGTAGTCTGTCTTGTCCATAACAACAGTCACTCGTCCCTTGTCTGCGGGCAGTATGACTATGTTCTCGTATGTTTTCAGTCGTTTAAGTGCTTTCTGTTCGTCAGGAGTCAAGTTACTGTTCGGTGATAAGGCTGATTGTAAAGTAGAGGTCACTTTACTTCTGATGTTATCCTTGGTCGATTCTGATAGCTCGTGTTGGCGAGACAGAACGGCCTCAACGCTAGTTACAATAGCCTCAGTAAGTATTTGTTTAGGTGTCACTGACTGTTTAAGTCCGTAAGAAAGTACTTGTGTTTCAGTCTCGTCTAAGGGACGGGAAGAAATATTCCTGACCAAGTTTTCGTCGGGTTTACGTCGTTTTTTTGTTTCACTCTTAAATCATTTTCGATATATTTGGCTACAAGAACTACTTAACTGTTATTGTCAGGGATCAAAAGCCATGTCCTTCCTTCTAGTGATAACCCTATTTGTTAAGGTTACAAGTAGGCCAGAATTGTTGAAATTTTAGTTGTCACGGACTGTGAGGACAAAGGCACAATGTTAAGAGTTGCTAGAATCACAAAAATAAAAATACATAAAAAATCCCACTTATTAACAAGGCCGGGGTCTCAGTACGGATTGTCTTAATTCAAGTGAGTTGTTTCTTCGCTTTTTTGAAAGCCTACCTCTGATGCATTTCACGCGCCATTTGAACAGCATGTATAAATCTACTTGTTCTTTTATACTAGGCTCACGTTTTTGCTGAATATTGTTGACCTGGTGTCCGAAATTGAGGACATTGTGCGTCGTGTTGAAGTGATTCTTATTCAACAACCTGGACTCACGGCCAACCTTAAGGACATTCAACACCAAATTAGAGTGTTACAGGTACAGTATTACATTGAGTCGATATTGGCTTCGATATCACGTCGCTGTAGCTTTGCAAGGTTCTAATCTTTATGAAGCAATTGTTAAACGCAATTGAATCAATTGTTCTGTTTTGGTTTGAGCTTAGGTGCCGTAAAAATCGCTAAGATATGAGTTGGTTTGTAAGAAGCGTTAAGAGGACACGTCTAAGACACATCTTTTTTTAAAGGGACTTCTCGAGAAAGAAATCCAGCCCAACGAAAACAAGTTGGTGGACATTCGAAAGTCGCTGCTCGAACTAAAAGACTTTGACAAGGCCAGAGTGCAGGCCATTGTTGAGCGATGGGAATCAGCTCGACATCAGATTGATAACCGGCTCGTGGGACTCGTGCAAGCCGAACAACAGCTGGAACAGTTTCAAGGTGGACTGCAAAGTGAGCTGGACTGGTTGAGCATAGTTGAAGAGAAAGTTGAGGACCGTTTGTGGAGTGCAGAAACTGATAATGCTGATGAAGTCATGGAAGAACTCACAGTAAGTACTGAGCTAGTAGTTCGCTGACGAGTGATGTCGCTTTACGAGCTGGAATGTCAGTTTCGGGTTGACGGCCCAATGAAAAATAACATCCTGAAGTCATGTCGATAAAATCAAACCGACGAAGATAAATCCTCATAAAGTCACACTCCTTTGCTAGTGATGGTTTTCACAGTGACGTCACCAGACTGCAAAGTCAAAAAAGCGAGTTTTTATGAATTCTTATTTACACTAGGTTGAAGATAAATAGAAAAGAAATCTTTGTACAAGTTTCCAGCCCCGAAGCATGTTTCATTTCGAAAATATAGCAATTTGAACTTCCGAGTTTTTACAGTGCGTGACACCAAAATAGGAATGCTGTCTCATTGAAAAGTCTCTCCTCTTGATTTTCAGCAGTTTAACCATTTCAAGTATTAAAAGATGTGTTTATGCGCACGTATGCTAGCTCTCGAGTGAAAAGGAAGAGCTTTTGTAGAAAAAGTGAACTCCAGAGGTTTTTGTCGATTTCCGGCGCCCATATTGGTGGACAGTTTCTGTCCATCAAATATGGCGTCTCCATACAAAGCTGTAAAAAGGTGCGTGAAATGTTTCGACAAATAACTCAGAAACTGTGGTCCACAGAGACCTGAGATTTGGACGAATTGTTTTTATATTAGTCTTTTATAACATTTCATTTTCTTGAATTCTTCCACCGGACGGTTTCCAATTTATTTTTTGTGCCGTGTTTATTGCGTGACGGTAAAAACGAAGAATAGAAGTCTTTTCTCTTTTCTTACTCGGAGACGAATAGGACTACCCAATGGTTAAAATAATACCCACGAATTTTTCTTATAGACTGGCATGGACTATCATTTTGACTTAGGATAACTGTAGGTTCCTCCTTTTTGACAGGAACGTGTTTCGTTTAAATCAAGGTTTAGCCTTAAAGGTAACCACCTTTCGGCGAACCCGAGTAAAACTTTTTTGGAACGGGGAAAAACTTTACGTGTTTGAAGATATCGTTACTCTTTTGATTGTCACGCTGAAAATAATTGCGGACGCAGAGCTTTACTGATTGGGTTTGTAGTCGACTCATCAAAAAAGGCCTGAAAAATATATTTGGTTCTCTTTTTTGCAAGTTTTGCTGCGCAGGCGAAGTAAAGCAAAACTCCAGTGAGAAAAAAACTGGAATTGAAATTGAAATATTTATTGAGAATTGAAATGTTTCTGGCTACGCTTCGATAACTCTAACATTCCTTTCTACGAACTTGGCTCTCTCCGTTAACTTTTAGTAATCATAGTTTAGTTGTTGCGTTCGACGTTAGGAGAACGCAATAAAAAGACTTATAAGTGGGTCTCATATCGTCTACCCAAATTGACCATGACATTTGATTATTGACAGCAGTTTTTTTTGTGGTTGAAGGCTCTGTATACAGATATTCGAAGTCAACAACTTTCAATTAAAACTCTTTGCACTGTGGGCCATGAATACACGGACAAGTCACAGGTTAGTCACGGAGTGGCCTCGAAACCAGTAACTGACATCTTATAGGTTGTTACTTTATAGACAATTATTATTTCCAAGATTTATTATAAATTTAGCCTGAACAGAAGTTGTTTCTGCGCAGCCGATCTCTTCAGGGGAATATACCTTATTATAGGAAATTAACGCTCCATGAAATTAACGCGAATCGTTAAAATTCGCGTTAATTTAAGTCGCGTTAACTTTGTTGAGCGTTAATTTCCGCGCTCTTAATTTCCAGTATTTTAACCCCAATTTTGGAACCTGTCCAGACATTCTTGACACCTAAAAAACGTTAACTACAAGCTTTATTTCTTTCCATTTACCCTTTATTTTTCATCTTTCACAAAAGTTAGGGCAAAGGTTTTCTTTTAAAGCTCAAGTAGAAGTAGCAACAGCGACAGTCTTCACTACAGTTATAGAAGAGGAAACTAAAGCCGGTGGTTGACACAGAATTAGCGCAATTAAAGGAAATAATACTTTAAGATGGAGGAGAAAGGCATTAATTTTCTTTATTCGAAAGTCGTTTTCCATTAAATTCGCGTTAATTTAAGTCGCGTTAATTTCCAATACCATTCATGGAGCGTTAATTTCCTATAATAAGGTACTTTGTTTGCTTGGCCGCAATACTTGTTAAGCTCTCTATTTGTACTTATAAATTTATTCTCCTGTTTCGGAAAAAATGTTTTAATTTCGTTGCTTAATTTTTATATTGCATGAAAGGGCGTAAAAAAGGCAAGTCATCAAACCAGTTACCGTATCTATTCGATTAACCGCCCTAGGCGCTTATTAAATTTTTGGACCTTGAGAGTGGGCGCTTATTCGAGGTGGGCGCTTATTAAATTTTCACCATTTTCAGGAAGTTTAGCATGTTTATTTTGCAACAATACAATAAATGGTAATAATAAAACGCGAAGATGTAACAAAGCAAGGTTTCTGTAAAATACTCTGAAGGAAATTCCGTCTTCGGGCAAGTCTCTTATTAGTACTTATTTAATGTTTTTTGGGTTGGAGGGACCAGAAAGGGGGTGGGGGTGGAGTTGGGGGTGGGAGCTTATTTGAGTTTGAGTTTGAGTTTGAGTTTGAGTTTGAGGGAGGCGGGGTGGGGGTGGGCGCTTATTCGAGGCTGGGCGCTTATTAAATTTTTCTGCCTTCAGGATGGGCGCTTATTCGAGGTGGGCACTAATTCGAGGTTGGGCGTTTATTCGAATAAATACGGTAATGGAAAATCCTACAAACATGCATATGTCATTCAGTTACATCAGGCAGTAATAGTTATCGTCAATAAGATGGTTTACGACCATGTCATGAGCAGCACTCTATTTGAACAAATCTAGCTCCGCATGTGTTGGCGCATATTGGTAACACAATGTTATATTCATATATGTACTGATAGGTTTGGGAAAGAAACCTTGAGGAGTATAGACTCAGCCTGCATCACTTGCCAGAGTCCCAAGATACCGCCAACCCCATTTTAGAGAGCGCCGCAAAAGGCCGCGAGGAGATAATAACGTCGTTGATGAATATGAACTCAAGATATGAGAAACTTTTGAACGAAGTGCAGCTTATCATGGAGCAGTTTGTGGACACTTTGAAGAGACAAGGAAAAGAACACAAAGAGGTTTGTTTTACAGTTATCAACTGGCAGGCTAACAACTTTCTGTCCATATTTGCTACTATTTCGTTGCTTTGGAACGAATAGCGTGA